CAGCTGGGAGGCTAACAGACCGCCCACCGAGCCCTCCGGGAGCTGGCGGACACCGAGCTGGATGGTCCGCAGAGGCCGCTCTCAGCTGTCCTCGAGAAGGAGCTCTACTGCCCGGCGGCCTGTGACCCCAGAGTGGGACACAGGGCACAGGCTGCCTTTAGGGCCACGTCTTTGAGGGACTGAGTGCCCTGAGTGTGTCCCAGGTGCTTACTCATGTCCTCTTCATACACCTTTACTCATAGGCCAACACCACCGCCCTCACCATAGGCACTGCCGTGATTCTCACGGTGGCCGGAAACACTGTCCCTCTGCTGCAACAGCTGCATCTCCAACCACAGCACCCCCAGTCCCGGCTCATGGGTCCGGTGACTGTTACCGGGGTCACAGAGCAGGTAGACAGCAGGCCCGAGCACACGTGTCAGCGGGAGGCTGGGTTCCCCATCCCTGGCTGTCACATCCAGACGTCCTGCCTTTTGGAAAGTCTCTCCGTGGAAGCAAGCTGACGGCGCTTTTCCTAAACAGCGCGGCGACGAAGGCGAAACTGCTGAAGCGCTGCCTCTTTGCGGAGGCACATGTTTAAATGCTTTGTTCATTATCGCGCTGGTTATTTTTCCTCTGCCTCTCTGGGAAGGAAGCGACCCCAAAACAAATACCACTCCTGCTGGTCGGAGTCAGCACAGCATGCTTTGCAGTGGCCGAGGCTGCCACCTCGGTCCCCAGCCTAGAGTTGGACCCATGTCTGCACCTCACATGGGGCACAGAGGGAAGAACGTCACCCACCCCAGGCCACGTGGCGAATCAGGGCTCCTGGGTCTGCAGCCTTCCCTGAGTAGGGGTGTGGGCCCCTGCCACCCAGTCACGACTGCAAACACCCTGCATTGCTCTTTCATGAGCACATTCCTGCTTGTCGGCCCACGCTGCTCGGAGCTTTGAAACACACAGCCACTGCTACAACATCGCGGGGCCGCCCTCCCACGTCCCTGAAGGATTATCCATGGGCAGGTTCCCTCAGTCCTCGGGAACACAGCAGGGAGGAACACAGCAGGGCCCCTGCTGGGTGTCCTGCAGCCCCACCCACCACTTGACGGGCTGGCTCCACTATGCGGCCAGGGGCACGGTGGCAGCAACAGGGGGGCTGGCCCGCTGTGGGTGGGGTTCACTTTGTGTGTCCATTTGGCTGGGCCATGGTACCCAGACATTCGGTCGAACGACAGTCTAGATGTACCTGGAGAGGTATGGTGTAGATGTCATTAACATTTAAACCAGTAGACGCTGAGCAAAGCAGATTGCCCTCCGCGGTGTGGTGGGTCTCGTCTAGTCAGGTGAGGGCCTTGACAGAAAAGACCGAGGGGCTCTGAGGAGAAAGTGCTGTCTCCAGAACGCCTCTGGACTCGAACTTGCAACGTCAACTCCTCTCTGTGTGTTTATACAGACACGAGTACCGCGCCCCACACACACACACACAGAGACGCACAGGTCCTGTCGGTGCTGTCTCTCCGGGGGCCTGACTAACACAATCCCCCTACATCACGAGGCCGTTCTGTTTCACGAGACACACAGAGAACAGCCCACAGGTGTAAGAACTGAAGCACACGGACTGCTCGTTCCCTGCCTCCTCCTTGGTTCTTGGCAATTGCCGGTGGCCAGGAGGTGGCACGGGTGCGTCTCTGATTCGGGGTTCTGTTCCTGTTTGTGCTGGCAATGGCGGGCTGTCTGGGAGCAGGTCGAGGGGTGGGGGCGTTCCAGCACGGCCAAGGAACGTCACGAAAATCATTCCATCCCAAGGAAGAGCTGTGATCTTAGCCCCCTCCACAGGGACAAGGAGGGCAGAGGCCCAGGACACACTGAGTTCCTCCTTGGGGGCTACGGACCTTCCGGAGGGTACCATGGAAGTCACAGGCAACGTCACGGGGAAAACCCACACTGCCACCCCCATCTGCAGGGACCTGGGGGCCTGCACGGAACACCCCTGCCTCCAGAACAAGAAGCTCATTGGTGGGAGAGCCTCACACTGGAGACACGGTGACAGCAAAGCCTGGGAACCGTCACCACACGGCAGGACTTGGCCCGAGTCCTGCTGCCTGCTGCGTGTTGGCGGCAAGGGCTGACCGAGCTCAGGCTGGGAAGCATGTGAGTAAACACGGGAGACCCGGAGGACCTCTGCTCTTATACCCGCAGATCCTCTGGGGGGTAACTGGTCTCTCGTGCCTGAGCCCGACCTGCACCCGAGGCAGAACAGATCCCAGCAGACACCCCAGCCTTCCTCCTGTGGCTTTCAGGCCCTTAATCATAGAATGAAGGGCCGCACTAACAGAAAGCCTGTGGTTTTGTAAATGCCCTTCCAAAATAAAGCAGATGGTTGAGGCCATCTCCAGGCGACCAAGCGGGCGGGAGGAGGAAAAACACCAGCAGCTGAGCATCACCCCACGTTCAAGATTCTTGATTCAGCCGTGAGGATCAAGACCTGTTGGGTGCTCAGAGTGGCCAGCAGCAGGGACAGGGAGCAAATCACACCCTGGAGAAGTTTCGAGAGACCAGGAGGGTCTGATGAAGGGGAGAGGGCGACAGGCGAGAGAGAGGGAAACTCAGGAAGCGGGGCTGTGGCGGCGGCGGACAGACCCGGGAGACCTCGCTGTGCCCACTGCTGCCCCTTTAGTGCAAGTGAGCAATGTCTCAGACTCCTCCATCTCTCCAAAGGCCCACCTCCCTGTCCCCACGGCCACTGCACTCTTGTCCAAGGTGTTTCAGAGACAGCAGTTGGACCAGTCTACATTATCAACGGAGAGTTTTAGGAAGGAAGGAAAAAAGAAAGCAGGGAGGGAAGGGAGAAGAGGGGGGGAGACAGAAAGAAAAAAGACAGGAAGCGAAAGGAGACCCAGAAAAATCTTCCTTGTAAAAATTATTTTGCTTGTCTAACCTCAAAACCCTCAAGTCTGGCTATTGTCATGTTTGTTTCCCAACGAGCTCACGGGACTCCCAAACACCATATTTAATCCCTCCCTCCTCGTGTTTAAAACGAGCCAGGGTCCGGGAAGAGAGGAAGATGTAAATCAAGCTGTGAGGAAAAGTCAGCGAGTTGGCTGACCTGGAAAAAGTCAGAGATGCACGGCTCCGTCTCAGGCCATGCAAGGTGACTCAAGGTGGCAAGACAGGCGTCCAAGCAGATCGCGGGGCTTGGCCTACGCTCTCGGGTGTGTTTGCAGCCGTTGGTGTCCTAGCCAGTGGGGGCTCGGGGACAGGCAGAGGACCGAGGCAGTCTGCTCCCCTCTCGCTCACCTCTGCCCTAGGGCCGCACCCCTAACTCATTGGCTTCCTTCTCTCTCCTTCTAGATCGATCCACCGCTTAGGATCCCTGCCAAGGCAAGACTCAGCCCTGTAGCCGACCACCCCGAGTGCCGGGTTCTGTGAAGCTAATATGGTCAGATCACAAGGCCAGGAGGATAAGAATTACGACAGGTGTCAGGGCGACAGGGACCAGAGGAAAAGGTGACCCCCATCACTGCGGAGCACGGGAGGTGATAGATGGCACCCTTATCTAGGAGCCCGCCCAGACCTGGTGTCCCTGTATCCTCCCCATGAATGGGGAGGTAACCCAGAAGGCTGCCATCTTCCCTCCTGCGGACTGACTGTGTGTTGCAGCCCGATCATGCGCAGCCCGACAGACCAATTCTGCATCAGGACTGGCTACGAAACTTGTGTGGCCCAGGACGAAGTGCGAGGGTGCACCCTCCGGTTCAGGAGGTGTTGAGAATCTCAAGACAGAGACAACGAAGCATCCAACCGAGCGCAGGTGCGTCTGCGCCGGACCCTGTGCTGTGTCCAGGTTACGGGGGGAAGCTGCCCTGCCTGCCATGCTACAAGGGGTGACTTTTCAGACCTGTCCCAGAGGTCATTAGAGGTCTTGTCACCTGGTCTGGGGGACAGCGACACCTCGGTTTACCCTGCACGGCACTTCTCTCTCCAGGTGTCCGTGGAACAAGGTGGGACATGAGGCCACCGGTCGCCCACTGTGTGCTCAGGGACAGAGGGCACTGTGATGAACATGAATCAAGGTGGCTTTCAAAGCAGGGCAAAGCTGCCTATCCAGGCCCAGGGTTCCGGTTCACAAAGAACCCCTAGCAGGAGGCTAGGTGCCTCAGAAGATCCCAGAACAACCAGGGCACAAACTGTGGAGACGTGTGGTCTAAGCCCCAGATTTGCGAGATCGAAGGGCAGAGCTCAGAGGCCGGGGACCTGAGCGGGGTCAAGCCTTCTGTGCCGTGCACGAGGCTTCTGCAGAAGGGGGTCCTGATGGAGCCAGTGGCCTGGGGGCAGTGGCCCCTCCCACGCCAGAGCAGTGTCCTCGGCCTCAGGAGAATCTGACCTTACGGCAAGGCAAGCCCTGGACGGCGCAGGGAGCCCCGTCTCAGCCCTGAGAGAGCTCCAGGGGACAGCGCGGGAGGATGGGGGGCAGGGCAGGCTGTCTGTGAGGATGGGTGACTGTGACCCATCAGTTCTCCAGCCCTGACCCCTGGCACCCAGGGAATCTCACCCTGACAGGCCGGTTCCACCGGGCCCTGCCAAGCCCACTCCCAGTCCTGCCCCCTGCTCCCTGCTCCCTGGTGAGCAGGCTGCTGTCAAGGAATGTGAAACTCCTCGCAGCATGGCAGGGTCAGCAGGGGGGTTGGCTCCCTTAGCGCAGGGGCAGGAGAGAACTTTCGGGGCTTCCTCCTCCTCCTCCCCGGACTTCTCAGGTATCTAATCCCTCTGGCCGGCTCATTTCACTGGGAGGGAGGGCTTCTCTTCCACAGGATCAGAAACTCTGGGATTGGGTTTCTCCTGGGCCAGGTCCTCCAAAGGGACAGGGGCCACACCCTGACCCGCCGACGGGACCCAGGCTGGCAGGAGAGCCCGCAAGAGCTGAGCTATGAGCCAGGGCAGGTCCCCTGGGAGTGTGGATACCAGCCTGACACCGGAAGCCCCCGCCCTCTCGGGCTCATCCCCACGCCCAGGGCACTCACTCAGGGGTGTTGATCCAGATGATGTCCAGGTGGCAATAGTAGACACACTCCTTGTCCTTGTAGGTAAAACACGTGCAGCGTCTGGCTCGGCGATGCATGGGGCCCCCCCGGGCCTCCTGTTCCCCAGACCAACCTGGTTCCTGCTCCTGCCCAGGGTCACCGCGACTTGGATCCCACGCCGTGGTCATGGCCACGGTCTCCTCGATGTCCCCCTCCGATCTGGATGCAGGAGGGGCCTGGGGGATGCCAGTCCTGCCAGCAGGCACCAATCCTGAAGGAAGGAGGCAGACTGAGGGGTTTCCAAGCTCCTAACTGTGCCCAACCCTCACACCCACCATCCCCCAAGTCCTGGCAGAGGGAGGCCACCAAGCTTTCTGCAAAGTTTGCAAGCTAGTTGCGCTTTCTCGAGAGTCTCCAAGCTATGCTGAACGTCCTGAAAAGTTTGCAAAGCTGTGCGCCCAGTTTTTGAAAAGCTCACAAGCTCTGTGTGCATGGGTGGAATGTTTGCAAGCTGTTACAGTTAGAGAGATTTTCTCTCTCTGCAATGTCTGCAAGCTATTTGCACCCACTGGAAACATGCAAGCATTTTGCACACTTCTCCAAAACTCTCCAATCATTTTTGCACAGTTTTGAGGAGTCTGCAAACTTTTTGAAAAGTTCCCAACTTCATGAAAAACTGACCAAAGGTGCCCAGGCCACAGGTCTCCAGTCTGCGCATGGGCTCCTTGCAGGCTCCAGAGCCCCTGGGGTGGTCCTTGCACCCCGCTTCTGCTTCCACCTTCCCCCAGGCGCCTCCAGGGATGGTGAGCCCAACCAAGAGGCTGCGCCCCCGCAATGCACCCTTCCCCGCGCCCCCACCCCCGTCCCAGGGTCCTTTTGTGTGCGCTCGCGCCAGAAGAGGCGCCCCGCCCCGCCCCGCTTACCTGCGGCGGAGGTCACTGTGAATCCGAAAAGGAGCCACAGCCCCAGCTCCATGAACCCCTCTCAGGCGCGGGAGCACCAGGCCTGGAGGACACACTCCTGTGGCCCCGGAAGGGGTCTCGGGCGGGGGACAGCGGGCCTCGCCCTCCAGCTGTGGGGATTTGAGGCCGGCTGCTCGCTCACTGGGTCCCGGCTCCCGCCAGGAGTTGGCTGCGGCGGTCGCAAACTTCAGAGCGCGCTGCCCATCCCTCCGCCGGGCTGGCCGGCTTGTGGGCTCAGGCTTTTCTGGCTCCCGCACCACCCCCTCGCCTCCCCGCCCCCCCGGAGGGGCTGGAGCTGCCGCGCGGGGCCTTTGAACCCGGGGCGCACCGGGGGTCGCCTTCTAGGCGCGGGGGGAAGCCACCGGGAGCGCTACGGCCCGCAGCGCACCCAGCACAGCGAGGGGCGGGGGCGGCGCGCCTGGCGGGGTGCGGTGGGGTGGGGGCCGGGACAGCTGCCGAGAGGCCACGCGAACACACACACTCACACATAGACACACACACAGGCCCTCGGGCGCGCGCGCGCTCTCGCACTCACACCCCGCCCGCTGCTTTGCTGTCCCAGGACCTGCCGCCCCCGCCCGCAGAGCAATGGGAAAGATAAAAGGCTGCAGGGCCAGGCTGCTATCTTTCATCTCCTGGCCGAGGGAAAGGGACACTTCTCACTGTTCACCTAATGACACCTTACCCTTCCTTGCACAGGGCTTGCCTGCCAAGGCCCCAGCGCACTTTACTCCCCTGACTCAGGGCCCTGGCTGTCTCCCCGCCTCTCCCAGGAGCTCAGAGTGAGTGGGTGTGGGCACCAGGCCCAGAGCAAAGTCAACCAAGAAGCAGGGTTAGCGGTCCTGGACTGGCCAGGACTTTCGCAGCCCCCTGTTCCACCGAGAGTTGGCTTGGGTGAGGGGCAGGTTCCTCTCCCCTGGCCCGTTATTTCCTTCATGGTCTTCAAGTCCCGGAGCTGGAGCCCACGTGCTGGCGGCTTTCCCCCCTCACCTGGGAGGGGGTCTTCTTTATGGACCATGCCCAGAAGAGCAAGGCTGCTCTATTTTGTTATTTTCCAAGGCCCTCTGGGCGGGGGACTGTCCCTGGGCACACAGGAAGTAGTCAAGAGGGCTTCGTGGGTGAATGAATGGATGAACGGCCTAGGCCATGGACTGCTGACCTCTACGGACACCCAGGAGTCCTCCCTGACCAGAGTCCGCTGACCGGAGGGAAGGATGATTGATAAGCACGGGCAGCACTCCAGATGTCATCAAGCAGTCCCCTCCCGGCCACTTCCTAACCCATCCGCGTGGGTTGGGTTGGAGGTGGCCGTCCCTGGGAGCTGAGGCGGGGAGAGGGAGACACAGGGCAAATGTCTGAGGGCACTTGGGGTCAACCTCAAACACACGGCAGACCCTTTGACACTGCTCCCATAACAGGCGGAGCTGAATACCACCCCACCTTCTTCAGCCCAAATGACCTACTTCTACAAAACGGTGCAGCGAAAGTGACGAGAAGGACTTTGGAGCAGGCATCATAAAAGGTGCTACAATTCCTGCCTGGCTCTTTCTCTGGGGGTCCTTGATCTCTGGACACGGCCGCCATGCTGGGAGGAAGCCCAAACAGGTCCTCCGAGGGACAGGTCGCACAGAGAGGCCAACGTGCAGAGACAGGCCTCCCTGCCAACAGTCAGTGCTGGTAGCTGACATGGGAGCGAACGAGCCTGAAGTTCCAAACTCCCGACCGAAGACTCACTGCGCGCCCCCTGCCCTGTCTGAAATCTGACCCACAAAACATATGGGCACACCGAATAGTCCTTTCACACCGTTCAGTGCTAGGCACTTTGCAGCGGGGGCATTGTAGCTGAAACGCCACTCAGACACCCTCTGAAGCCCCCTCCCCTTCTGCCCAGTCCTGGAGTCCGTCAGGGAGTGGAGAGCGAAAGGCAGCATCTCTGGACCACCAACAGGACATGTTCTGTAGGCGGCTTCTGCTTCATCTTCTGTGTGTGTGTAGTCTGTATTTTGAAAATGAGAAAAACCCAAGATTAGGATTATCTTTGGTTCCCACTGGGCTAGGATTAGACCATTTCATTATTATATATTCCCTTGGAATGAAAATATCCATCACCTACATCATAAAGAAAATTATTCAATTGGACGATGGCTGGGGAAAGAGAGAATGTACTAGCCAGCTAAATGGAGAAAAGGGGAGAAAACGGTTTCCCGGCGTGTTCAGGCCTCGAGATGCCGGAGCTGCCGGACCCCTCCCGGGTCTACCGCCTTCTGAGTCTCAGGCGGATGCCAACATGCCCCAGGTGGGCCTCTCGGACACGGCAGCGGTGGGCCCTGGGGCAGCGCCAGCCTCACCCTCCGAGTCTTCTGACTTGGCTGAGAACAGGAAGCCCAGGGGTCAGGAGCGTGGCCATCGAGACAGTCCAAGGAGGAAGAATTGCAACTGACCCTTACACAACCTGAGCACTGTGACCGACAACCACGCCTATTCACAAGTGACAAAGGCCTTCCCTGTCTACTCTTCTTCAGTCCCCCCGACTCGGCCCAGGGGGACACCACCATGAGCGTCTCTAGCTGCTCTAACGACGCCACTTTTTGTGCTAAGAAAGAACAGGTCACGGGCTTGGAGTCTTAGGCAGACCCCAGAATCTAGCTTAACTTCTTCCCCGCATTTTTATTTCTTATTGTGGCAAAATACATAGCACGTAACGTACCATCTTCCCCATTTTAAGCGTTCGGTGTTTTTAAAAGCGTTCACAATGCCGCGTGGCTGTCACCGCGATTCATTTCCACGCATTGCATTTTGCAGAACTGCAGGTGGGCACCTGAGCAGTCGGGAGACAGCAGCTCCCCGTTCGCCACTTCCCCCAGCTCGTGGCGCCTGCACTCTGCTTTGCGTCCTTCTCTGTGATTTTGACTACGTGCCTCACCTAAGTGGGACCGTTAAGTATCTGACCGGCTTATTCCCCGCAGCCCAATGTCCTCAAGGTTTATCCAGACTGCCGCAGGTGTCGGAACGCCCCTCCCTTTTAAGGCAGAATACTATTCCTTTGTGTGGCTGGCCCCGAATTGTTTGTCCATTCACCCATCACTGGGCACCTGGGCTGCTTCTACCTTCCAGCTACGGAGAATGTCGCCACCCGCGTGGGTGCACGAGTGTCTCTTCAACTCCTTGCTTTCTGGTCTTATGGGGACACACTCGGAATCACTGGATCATATGCTGATTCCATTTTCAATTGTTTGAGGAACTGCCACACTTTCAGCGGCTGCACCATTTTACACTCGCAACAAGGGCACCCAGGGATTCAGTTTCCCCACACGCTGGCCAACGCTTGTTCATTTGAAGGCCCTGGCGTGAGGCGGCATCTGGCTGTGATGTTGATTGGCATTTCCCTGGTCACAGGTGGTGTTGAGTGTCTTCTCGTTGGCCATTGGCACAGCTGCCTCCTTTGGAGAAATGTCTGCTCAAGCCCTTGGCCCATCATTGTATTGAACTGGCTTTTGTTGTTTTGCTTGGGATTTTGTAACATTTTTGATTTTCATTGTGTTTGCCTTTATAGTTATCTTTGATTTATGACAAATGATGCAAATAAAACAAATCAAGCTGATTTATTTAAGTAAAATCAAAGTAACCTGAATAGAGATACAGAGTAGTTATTGTGGAGGTGGTATGCAGAGATGGCAAAAATCACGAAGCTGGTTTGCCCACCACTGAGGTCTAGAAATCTCCTACGTTAAAAAAAAACCACACAGATGAGGAGGAGGGGGCAGGGGAGGGGAAAGAAGGGGGCCGGAGGGAGGACATCGGAGAAGGGAATCCCAGGGTTCTTGACAAGAGCTTTCGGAAAGAATCTGGGGGCTCTGGGCTAAGTGGTGTGTGAAGCAACTCAACTCACATGGTTCAGACAGGCTGGCAGTGGGGATTTGAATCACGGTTCTGCCCTGTGACAACTCAGCAAAAGCCAAACTAACACTGTCCCCATTAAATAGATGAAGAAAACTGAAATTCAAAGAGAGTCAAGTGGCCGGCCCACGGTTGGCAGTGAGTGACCAAGTGGCAGAGTCAGGACTCGCATCCAGTCCCGCCGGATCCCGGGCAGCGTCCGGGCGCCGCCGTCAGCCAGCCCCAACCCTCTGGCCGGCACCCGGGTTCGCAATCACACTCAGTTTTCTCTGTGGGTCGTTGGCGAGTCACTCCTCTCCGATGGCCCGGTTTCCTGAGTCGCACAACCTCTGAGGAAAGGTCACAGGAGGAGCGATGGGCCCACACCAGTAATGGCCCTTCTCCTCCTCTCAGGTCGGCCAACGCTCTTGATCGCCCCTCGCTGTCCCTGCCACCAGCTGGGCCCCGAAGACAAGTGTGAGACGGAGACAGTCTGGGCCCCGGCCAAGTGCATGGCGGGGCCGTCCCGTGTATTTTTCATCAACATTTCCCAAGCCGGCAGATGTGCGGCTGTGTTTTTGAGACGGTACCGCTCACTGAAACTTGGATTCGACATCCAGCCCTGAAGAATCTTGGTGATTTATCCAGATAAGCATCGCCTCAAGTGGCCTCTTCATGTGCTTTACGACCCTTTTGAAGATTGTTTTCCTTAAAATTTAGGGGATTTGAGTGAGAGTAATGTAATACAGTATGTAGCTTTCCACTGTCCTGGAGTTTCTTCCTCCCGCTGACCCAGAAACCAGATAATTAAGCACTTTTCCGCATTGTGTGAGTCTCAGCTGTGCACCTCTGCACGTCACAGGGTTGATTGTAACATGCCCAGGAGGAGGGGCTGGGCTCCAAAGTCTTTGCTTTAAAAGCAACAGAAATTGTTTATGAAGTTCCAAATGTACTAACGTTATTACAAGGCAGCCCACACTTTAGCCCTACCTGTTATATGTGCTCAGGGGCTCAAAGAAATCAGCCCGTTCCAAAGAGAAACCTGGCAGCGAGTCTAATGAAAACAGACTGGGAGCGCCCCCGGTTTTCCCAGGTAGGCGCTGGCTGTGGTCGGCCCCGGAGCATCATGTCCCCCCAGTGCACAGCTTCTCCCCACACGCCCTGTGATTTGGGCGGGGCTCCAGGGCCAGGCTTGTGCCTCTGGACTAACCAATCAGAGCGTGACGTCCCCTTTTGGGACAGGCAGACCTGCAGAATAACAATACATTTGTGTGTTTGTGATCATTTGCTACGGGAAGCCAGAGGACGTGAACACAGCCTTGAACACGACCTTGAACACAGTGACTGGCTCAGGGATAGGCCTGG